CATTCACCTCAGCCTCCCAAAGGCGCGGGATTACAGGCTGAGCCACCGAGCCCGGCCATGGTATACTCTTGACACCAAGGCCCAGAGGAGCAAGTGACTGTTGAGGGTCAATCAGTGGCCAACAGTGGCCTGTGCTTCTGACCACACTGCTGTCCTGCCTTTAGTTCAGTGGCTCTCAACCAGCATTGTTCTTCTCTCTGCCCAACCCCCAAACCTCTTTTAGCAAAGTCTGGAGACATTTTTTGTTATCTCAACTGGAGAGAGTCTTACTGATATCTCATGGGTGGAGGCTCTAAACATCCCACAAAGAATCATTTAACACAAAACGTCAATGTGCCTAGGTTGAGAAACTGCTTTGCCAGTGGAAAGGTGCCCTGGGTTGCTCATGGGATGCTGAAGAAGGGTTTATTTTTGTGACTTGTAACGCAGACAGAGAATTTCTAAGTCTTCCCGCAATGCTTTGTGCATCTAGTACATGCCGTTCTGGTTGATGATAAACAGTGACAGTGTACAGGGACGTCTCTTTTCAGCAGCATTGTTGTGACTTGACTCAGAGGAATGCTGCTGATTGCTTTCATAAAATTTGCTAGGCCTCTTCTAAGTGTTAGTCCTGTGCTGGATGCAGGTGGTGGAGCAAATCTACACATGCAGCAGACCCTTGAATAACGTCATTTCATTCAACCTCTTTTCATTATGACTATTTTTTGTGTCAGGGTATTACTCTGTTGCCCAGGATAGAGTGCAGTGATGTGACCTCTTGGGCTCAGGCTAGCCTTCTGCTTCAGCCTCTTGAGTAGCTGGGACTACAGGTGGCACCATGGGAGGTCTCACTGTGTTGCCTACGTCAGTCTTGAACTCCTGGGCTCAAGAGATCCTCCCACCTGGGCCTCCCAGAGTGCTGGGATTACAGGCATGAGCCACTATGCTTGGCGTCTCTTTTCATTATAATGTTGATGAAAAAAAATGTTTCTGTTTAGGGCCATTGTCTGCGTGGAGTTTGTTTATTCTCCCCATGTCTGCATGGGATTTCTCCGGGTACTCCGATTTCCTTTCACATCCCAGAGATGTGCACGCTAGGTCCTTGGCATATCCCCATGGTCCCAGTGTGAGTGTGAGGGTGAGTGCACCCGGCCATGGGATAGCATCCTGTCCAAGGCTGGTTCTTGACTTGTACGCTGAGCAGCCACAGTAGGCTCTGGCCACCCGAAACCCTGAGCTGGAATAATTGGGCACATAATTATCTTGCTTGTTTTTATTAATCTTACTTAAATGCATGTAACATTTATTTCAGTGTTTAATATTGGAAGCATTTTGGTCTTTATTCAGAAGTCTGGTGATGTTTTTGTGACCAGAAATATGCCCTAGGAACTTTATTATTTGTATCAGTTAGCCTATGGGAAAATTGGTTTCACTATAAGTCGTTTCACTTATAAGTTGCAGTTTCCAAGAACGTATTGATGATTATGTTAAGTGAGGACTCACTGAACTTTTTGTGCCTTCAAGTCACACACTGTTTAGTGGTGGTGGTAGTGGGGAGATTGTTAAGGAATGGTGACAATCCATTGTGCCAAAGGCTGGGGTTACAAACCAGCCTATGGAAGGGCAGAATCCAGACTGTGGAGGGGGGTTGGGCGAGGCATCCGAGAATGAACCCCACGCTGAACACTGGAGTCCTCACTCCAGGTCAAGAGTGGAGGAGCCTGCAGGCCTGGTCCATCGCATAGGGTCTTATAAGTCCTTTTGCTGAGGCATTTGGGTTTGGTCCTGAAGGCCTTGGAAGGGAGTGTGCGATCAGATTTGTAAAAGAGAAAGAGCAAGGACAGTGTGGGTTGATGCAAATGAAGATCAGATGAGAAGAGAGTTGCCATGATTCAGGCAGAGGATATGGCCTGAACAAAGGCAGTGACCATGGGATGAGGCCTGTGAATAAGAGGATAGAGCCACAGGTCTTGGCTACTGATCTGTAGGAGAAGCTGGAACGAGGGAGAGGGCAGGGTCTGGGTGTTTCATAAGAATGCTAATGAAACATAAAACAACCTAGGAAAGCAGGTATTTTTAACCCACATTTTAATAGGTGTTAAAACTGAAGGCCAAAGAGGTTAAATGATTTACTCAAAGTCTTAGGGCAAGTGGGGGGGTCGGGGCACCAAGTGCTTGCACAGGAATCCAGCTCTGTCTTACCCCAAAGCCAAGATTCCTTTGGCTGAATGGCTAGAAGCTGTGAATGAACAATTCAAACATATTTAAATACAACTAGTACAGCTGGAGACCTTCATAATTAGAATTGCCAATGAACTGCTCCATCTTCTCAATTGCAACTAAAACACACCCCATCCCTCCACCCCATCTTCTCAATTGTAACTAAAACATCCCTCTGGTCCCACTCCCAGCCGTTCCACCACCACCAGCAGAGTTGGAGCAACCCTTTGAGAAAGCTATTATAGGTGTGGGGAATTGGAGAAAGTGCTTCCGGAAAACCTCACCTAAGAACCAATTTAAAGGCTCAGCCTGTAATCCCGCGCCTTTGGGAGGCTGAGGTGAGTGGATTGCCTGAGCCCGCGGGTTCGAGACCCGCCTGGGCAGGTGAGACCTCATCTCTACAATAAAATCAAAAAATTAGGTGGGCATGGTAGCGTGCGCCTGTAATTCCGGCTACTTGGAAGGCTGAGGCGGAAGGATTGCCGGAGCCCAGCAGGTCAAGGCTGCCGGGAGCGGCCACTGCACTCCAGTCTGGGCGACAGAGTGAGACTCCAACTCAAAAAAAAATAGGGGAGCCAGATAAGGTAGGATGATCACAGCATCCTTGCAAGGGCAGAGAAGAAACTACATTTACTCAGCGGCGGGAAGGCAATGGAGAAGTTCAGTGATCCTTCAGACTTACAGAATATTTGCAGCTTTAAAATGATCAGTATGAAGATTATGTAGCCACATTAAAAAACAACAGTGATAGACTATTGAGACAATGAGGCAGGATTGAAAGTGAATGTGGGGAAAATTTCACTTAGTTTGTAAAACAGAGGCTAATTGAATTTACTTTGTAAAATGTTTTTAATTCTTAAAGCATGTCATTAAAAATTATGTTTTCTCTTTTTCCTCCTCCTCTCCTTCCCCCTCCTCTCCTTCCTTCTTCTGCCTCTCTCTTTCTTCCACCCTTTCCTCCCTCTCCTCTTCCCCCTACTCCTCCTACTTCTTTTCCTTCTTTTTCCTTTTCTTCCTTGTTCTCCTATTGCTCTTTTTTTGAGAGGTGACTAACCCAAGACTTGAAACAACGAAGGAACTTCACTGGAACTTCACAGCTGGGAAGCGGGGAGGCAGGGAAGAGGGAAGGGAACAGGGCCAGGAGTCTTTTGATGAGAGACCTTATGCCTTCTTCCTCATTCTGACCCTGGAAGGCTGTGCTGACCAGGGCTGGGGAACAGGATGACTCCAGGGGGGCTTCCCTCCGTGATACCATGCTATTCTGACCATCCACACCAGCTGCTATCCAGAGTGCTCCTGGGGTGGGGAGAGTGGGCCAGTTGCATGCCGAGCCTCAGGGCGTCTCTTCAGTTTGTCAGGTGTGCCTATGTCATCATCCTCATGGCCACTTACTGGTGCACAGAAGTTATCCCTCTGGCTGTCACCGCCATCATGCCTGTCTTGCTTTTCCCACTCTTGCAGATTCTGGACTCCAAGCAGGTGAGCAGACCTGGGGATCCTGGCTACTTCCTGGTTTTCCCCTTGCCTCATTTTCCAAGCCGTTTTGGAGCTGTGGGGGATGAGAGTGGGGGTGGGGGAGTAGGTGTCGGGGGTGGGGAGCATGACTGGGTAAGCCCCTCTTGCAGATTCTCCCTGGCATGGAGTCATACCGCTTGAGCCTGCCTCCCCATTCCACACTGTCCCTGAGTTCAGCATCTGGCCTGCTTGCCTATCTCTGGGGGCCTGGGGTGGCCCTGGCCCAAGCAGTATGTGGCCAGGGGCCAGCCCTGACAAGGTCTCCATGCCACCCTGCAGGTGTGTGTCCAGTACATGAAGGACACCAATATGCTATTCCTGGGCGGTCTCATCATGGCTGTGGCTGTGGAGCACTGGAACCTGCATAAGAGAATCGCTCTGCGCATTCTTCTCTGGGTGGGGATCAAACCAGCACGGTAATTATGCCTTCTCTGTCTTGCCACGTGGCTCTGCATGGGTTCCAGGGCTGGGGAGGGGAAGGTGGTGCAGACCAAGCCACTCACTGGTGAGAGCTGGCCACAGGCTTACCTGGGCTTGATGGGCTAGCCCCTGGCTGGGCTGTGTTATAGTCTTAGCGAGAACACCAGATGCTTGAGTGGTCATGGACATGGTGAGCAGCAGTAGGTAAGAGTTCTGTGATTTCAGAAGAGACGGGGCAGCAAAAGTCCTTGCAGGTTTGGAAGGCTTCCAGGAGGAAGCAGTTGCAGGGTTCCACAGGGAACCAGTTGGATGGAAGCTGGATCAAGATGTGTCTGATGGGACACTGGTGGAGAAGACAAGCCAGAGGGTGGCTCTACTACCCAGCTCAGGGGGAAGCAGAAAGACCATCTCTCTGAAGCCAGGACATCTATTCCCCCTGCAAAGAAGCCTCTTACCTCATCTTCCCTCACATAACTTAGAACCCCAGCTTCTCACCCCTTCTCCAAGATCTTTCCAGCCAATCAGCCCACTGGCCATTTCCAGCCAACCCATGGAGCCGATATAATCCTAATCGTAATCCTAATAGGTATTCTAAGTGTCTACAAGGTCCCAGAAATGATACTGGCAACTTATTTATCATCTCATTTAATTCTCACCACGACTCTGAGAGTTGGGTATTATTCCTGCCACCACATTCTGTAGACAAGGAGTTGGAGGCAGAGAGGCTAAAGTGATTGGTTGATAGTCACATGGGGCTTGGACCCAGCCTGTCTGATAAAGTCTATGTCCCCTCTGATCAGGAACTCGAGGTGCATCTTTCTTTTGAGGCAATGCGCTCCCCAAATGAGTATGTCCCTGACCTAACCCTGGGAAGTCAGCAGTTGGTGTCAGGGACTGTGCTGGGCCCTGGCCACCCACAGACTCTGGCCCATCCTCCAAGTGATCCATCCCCAGGGCTCCTCAGTGCCTCAGACTCCCCTGAGCAGAGCACTTTGTGGCTCTCTGATCTCTGTTGGCCTTCATGGCATTGATCCCCTTTAGCACTAGTTTATAGGATCAGATCAGAAGCCATTGTATTTTCTAGAAATGTGAGACCTCGGGAAAGTGGACCTCAGGACCCTTGGAATTTTTATTCTTGGCCCTTTTGAGTGGCTGACTTTTCTCCAGCAGTAGGCAGGAGGCCGCTCAGTGGGTTTCATTCTGGTGTGTGCAGGAGAGCTTGTGTGTGGCACTGCCTGGCCTGGGGGGTCACATGTATGAGGAAACTTCCTTGGTACCTTGAAGCATCATGTAGAAGTCATGGTCCTTCTTAGACAACTCCACTCATGCAAACTCTCACCCTCCACCTAGTCTGGGCTCCAGCCTCTGCTTTCATGGGTCCATGAGGTCAACCTGTGTGGACATCAGCTGGAGCCCTGGTTTGATTCAGTCAATTGCAGAGTGGAAGGGGGCAAAGTGTTTGTGTGGAGAAAGGTGGCAGCAGGGGCGGGGTGTCAGCCGGGAGGAAGTTCACCCTTTCCCCAGCTCCCTCCCCAGCTGGCCCTACCACTTCAGGCTGACTCTGCACAGCCCTTCTGAACTTCTGAGAGGTGAGGCAGGGTCTGGAGTGAGCAGGGATCTTCCAGTTAGAAGTGGGAAGCTGGGGCTACCTGCATGCAGGAGTGCTCCAGCACAGCCCTAGGTCACACTAGGGCAAACTCCATATGGAGTTGGCACTATCTGGATGTCCATGCTTCCTCTGCTAGACAGGAAACTCCTTAGAACCATGACTGGGCCTGAGGCCTGTGGGTGACCCCAGCAGCTGGGAGAGTAGACATCAGTCATGTGTTGTAGGAGAGAGGGTGGAGGGAGGAAGAGAAGAAAAGGAGAGAGGGAGGGAGGCATTAAAACTATAATCCTCTATTAGCATACCCAGTCTTGAACAGGGCTCAGCGCCTTCACATCCCCATGGGTGTGGATCCAGCCTCCAGTAGTTTCTATGGATGTGGGGGGTGGGGAGGGGATTCTCTGGCCCTCCTTCCTGCTCCTCCTCTGCAGGCTGATGCTGGGCTTTATGAGTGCCACGGCCTTCTTGTCCATGTGGATCAGCAATACTGCCACCACGGCCATGATGGTGCCCATCGTGGAGGCTATGCTGCAGCAGATGGAAGCCACGAGCGCAGCCACAGAAGCCAGCCTGGGGTCACTGGAGCTGGTGGAGAAGGGCAAGGTCGGCGACTTGCCAGGTGAGCCCCTGCCAGGGCATGCAAAGGCCACAACGGCAGCCTTCCCTTGTGTTGGCAAAGGCTTCACTGCCTCCTTCTCCCTCTCTGCTTCCTGGAACCCTCCTTTAAATATGCATAGAGAAAAAAACTTAGAGAACACTGTTTTCATAATTCTTAGGAATGAGATCATTCATAAAAGTTGGATCCCTTAGAGTTTAGGACAAAGTCCCATGCTCAGTTCCTGTTAGTTGGCAGAAACCAATGTGTTCATTTGATTATTCACTTGGGCATTGTTTGAGCACCTGCTGGGTGCCCCTCACCCTTGTACTCCTACTCATCCTCAGGGAGGCCTCTGCTGACCTCTTTGAGCAGATCGAATCCCTCTGCTCTCTGCTCCCATAGGTCTTGGGGTTGGTGTCCTGTGTTTGCTTCCCTGCTAGGTGTTATAAAGGCAAGATAACATCTTTCTTGTTCTCTGCCATGGTCCCTGCCCATCCCTAGGGCCCAGCACAGGGATTCAGGGCTGGTGGCTGATGGCCTGATTGCCAGACTCAGGATGAATGTGAGCTCCTGAGGCTACAGAGAGGAACCCAGCAAACCCCTACCAAGGACTTTTGTGGAGCCCGTGGCCCCTCCCATAAGCCATCTGACTGGGGGTGCCATAGCCAGAGGGAGGGAGCTCAGAAAAGGGAGAGAGAGCTTACCAGGAGGAGAGGACATTTGCCATGGATTTGGATGCCATGCCTAGATGCAGGGACCAACTTGAGAACAGCAAGGAGGCAGGACAGATGGGCATGTGTCTTAAGTTGCTGAACCTGGACAAAGCATCGAGGATCCCTAGGGGGGACGTGGGAAGTGACCGTGGGAAGGCAGATGAGGCCAGACTATGACTCTGCACTGGGGGCTGAGGGTGCATGTGAGGGGATCCGGCGGGGATGGGATGCCCTAGTCCTCAGTCAGCAGCAGAGTCAGGAGCTGGGACTTGGCCAGCAGGTCCACGGCTGGCTCAGCTAACAGTGCTGTGCCCATCACAGGTAATGACGTGATTTTTGAAGGCCCCACCCTGAGAGAGCAGAAGGACCAGGACAAGAAGGGCATACGCAAGGCCCTGAACCTGTGTGTGTGCTATGCAGCCAGCATCGGGGGTACCGCCACCCTGACCGGTACGGGACCCAACGTGGTGCTCCTGGGCCAGATGACTGAGTGAGTTATTGGCTACACCTTGTGGGGACAGCAGGGCTGGAGGGACCCACCCACATCTCCCTCATCCTCGGTTGGGCCCCAGAGCAGGGGGCAGCAGGGCCTGACCAGGTTAGGAAGGTATGTCCCCATCCAGTCTGTGTGTCCCGGCCCGCTCTCCACAGCGCAGCATCTGGATTGAGGTGTGGACCAGTGTCTCTCCTTTCAGATTGTTTCCTGAGAGTAAAGACATCGTGAACTTTGCCTCCTGGTTTGGATTTGCCTTCCCCAACATGCTGATAATGCTGCTGCTCGCCTGGCTGTGGCTCCAGTGTGTTTATATGAAATGCAAGTGAGTTTGGGCTGCTCAGTGGGCAAGACTGCAAAGTTCTTTGTGTCTGGCCCCGCCTCTCTTTCCAGCCCCATCTCCTGCTAGTCTCCCCTCCTATTCCCACCACCCAGGCCGCTCACTGAGCCTCTGCACCTATTGCTTCCCTTCCTGGAATGCCATTTCCTGCCTTCCGACCTTCCCAACTCCTCAGCCTTCAAGACCAGTTTGGATGCTGTTTCCACGACTTCCTGCCCACCCCCATTCCATCTCTGAGTGGCCCCTGGGCATGACAGCCCTGTCTTTGGTCCCTCCATTCAGGTTTCAGTGCTGCTCTCCCCTGACCTGAGCTCCTCCAGGGTCTCTCTGACCCAGGGAGGAAGAGCAGGTAGGCTAAAGCATTTAGAGAGACGTTTGTCCCTCGTGCCAGATCGACACTTCTGGACAAACGTCCCCTTGGCCACATGGGTCCATTAGCAAACCTGATAACATCCAAATCAATCCAAACCGAGCCTTAACTGACCGGCTCCAATGTTCCCAGTAGCATGTGGGACATGGAAAGTTTACTTTCCTGTACCCAGCACACTGACAAGTTTACCAAGAGTCACCCTTGACAGCAGCCAGACTTTGGACAGACACCATGACATGTGGCTGATAAATACCTAAAAAAAAGTGGTTGTTATTTTAAAAGACACAAATTTATATGTGGTGCAAAGGTGATCATGTCACATTGGGATAGAAAGTACTTACTTCTGAGTTAAGTGTGCATGGCCTGGGTCTCAAGTCACAGGGAGCTCGAGCCAAGTGAAAACAGGGGAGTATGTGACCAGAGGAAGGACACTGCAGAGCTGAGAGGCAAAAATGCCCATGAAAACCTGAGAGTAAATGAAGAAAACAGGGCATTTTTCTAAGTATTCTTCTGGAGGAACTGTTTTGAAAACTCATTTAAAAATGACTGCTGCCAGGTGTGGTGGCTCACGCCTGTAATCTCAGCACTTTGGGAGGCAGAGGCAAGACGATTGCCTGAGCTCAGGGGTTTGAGACCAGCCTGAGCAACATGGCAAAACCTTGTCTCTACAATAAATAAATAAAAATTTGTCAGGTGTGGTGGCGTCCACCTGTAGTTCCAGCTATTTAGAAGGCTGAGACAGAAGGATCATCTGAGCCCAGCAGGCCAAGGCTGCAGTGGCCATGAGCATGCCAGCCTGGGCGACAGAGTGAAACTCTGACTCAAAAAAAAAAAAAAAAAAACAAGAAAAGAAAAAGAAATGACTACTACCAGGCATAGTGGCTCACACCTATAATCCCAGTACTTTGGGAGTCCCAGGAGGGAGGACTGTTTGAGCCTAGGAGTTCGAGACCAGCCTAGGCAGCATAGCGAGATCTCATCTCTACAAAAAAAATAACTTAAAAAATTAGGCAGGAATGATGGTGTGTGCCTGTAGTTGCAGCTACTTGGGAGGCTGAGGAGGGAAGATTGCTTGAGCCTAGGACATCAAGGCTGTAGTAAACTGTGATCAAGCCATTGCACTCTAGCCTGGGCAACACAGTGAGATCTCAACTAAAAAAATTGCTATGCACATTCAAAATAACCATAATAGTGATAATAATGATCACTGCCCACACCCCTCCCTTGTAAGGGGGACACTGCTACCATGGCTACATGTCTACTCAGCTTGGCTTTGACAGAAGCTCTTTTTGCCCTACTTTTTGAATCTGTGCCAGGACCCAATCCTGCTCGTCTGCTCAGGCCTATCAGGAGACAGCCCTGGACCTGCTGCAGGTGGGCTTCTTTTCTTTCTTTTTTTTTGAGTTGGAGTCTCACTCTGTCACTCAGGCTGGAATGCAGTGGCACGCTGCTCACGCCTACTGCAGCTTTGACCTGCTGGGCTCAGGCAATCCTCCCGCCTCAACCTTCCAAGTAGCTGGAACCACAGGCATATGCCACCCTGCCTGGCTAATTTTTAAAAAAAATTTATTGTAGAGATGAGGTCTCACCAAGTTGCCCAGGCTGGTCTTGAACCCGTGGGCTCAGGCAATCCTCAACCTCCCAAAGTGCTGGGATTATAGATGTGAGCCACCATGCCCGGCTGGCACCTATGTCTTTTCATGGGCCAACATTTATAGAGTGCTTTTGATGTGCCAGACACTGTTTTAAGCACTCTTCATACATAAAATTAACTAATCTTTACAACAGCCTGTAGGGTAGGCACTATTATTATTATTCCCAATTCACAGATAAGGCAACTGAGGTGTGGAGAGATCAAATGACCTACACAGGGTTGCATAACTTGGAAGTAGTAGGACTGAGATTTGAACCTGGTCAGTTTGGCTCCCACTACATTACATCCCCTCCTGAGGAGGCCAACAGTTGCTGCTCTGAGTTGCATGACCACATGTCAGGAGAACTAGTTGGGGCCTGGGGGCTGCCCTAGAACCCTGAGGCCTACCAAGCAAGAGGGAGCTGGCCTGGCACTGGGACCACAAGGGCAACATCAGCCTCCTGTCTGGCTGGAGGTGGATGCCAGGCCCCTAGGAACTCATGGCCAAGAACCTGGAGTTGCAGTTCACCCAGCCTCGCACGGCCTCTTCCAGCTCTCCTTGACCGACAGGGAGCCTGGAGAGTGCCTGCTGCATGGGGTCTTCCCGGCCTGCTTGTCTTGGAAGTGCATGACTGCAGTCCAATCCCACCTCTTCCCTGCAGGCCATTCTAGTTCAGGGGTAGCCACAGGAGCCTTGTTCAATTCTCGATCTGGAAGGTAGGATCTAGATTTTTTACATTCAGTTTTAAGCAATGGAAACAGCACTCTGGCCCAAGCTATGTCCTGCCACATACCAGGACCTGGTGATCCCCAGCTGCCTCCATGGCTTCCTGGACCACCTCACCTGAGGCCAGAGCACACCTGGCTCAGCACCAGGAAGCATCATTGCTGTCACATCTTGGTCTCACTGGAGTTCCTCATCTGGATGATCTTGGAGAACAATGTCAAGGTCTTGACCTCTAGCCCAATCCAGAAAAGTTGTATCTTGCTGAGTGTATAGGCAGTCTCCTCAGCTATTCTAGCCAAAGGGACCACAGACTCCCCCAGAATCACTAAGTACCACATGGGATATTATTACTGGCTTATACCCAGCTGCCCCAATCAGGCTAATCCCCTGAAATAGGGATGAGGGTTCTTCCAGACTCCTGTCAGACAGAAGGATCACAGGGCTCAAGGATCCCTCCCTGTCACCTTGCCTCTGCAGCCTATTCAGGTTCAAGTTCACCTTGGTACATTATGGTGATAACAATCTGCTGCAGGACACTGTGGTCCCCACCCCAACTCCAGGGTTCTCACAAGGCAACTGGATCCATTGGCTTGCATCTCACACTAGCCCAGTGGTCACCAAATGAAATTAACTGAGATGCGAGTGAAACTGCTTAGGGCGAGGGGGTTTGTGCTAGGCACCATTATGGGGCACCAACATGGGATGATGGCATATTCAGCACCACAGTCTGCAGCCACTCTGGTGTCAGAAGTGTCGCCAGCACCAGATGCAGGCTTGGGCTGCTAGGAGTACCAAAGTCACTCTTATAATGGAAACTTGAAGCCCCTGCCCAAGCCCCAGAGTCCCTAGAATTACACAGATAGGAGCTTGGTAGTGCACAGATTTAACCAAACCAAGGGCATGAGGGCAGGGAAGATGCGGACCAGCAGAGTTATCCCCATGCCCAATAATCTGGAGGGTTGGCCTTGCTTCTTTGTCCTTTGTAGGGAGATCCAGGGAGATTCTGGCCATCTGTACAGACTCGAGATCCCGTCAGTGTCACCTTTGTAGTCCCCAAGCACTCCTGACATCCTTGTGTCCCCATGTTCCAGGCTGTGCCACCATCACACAGCATTGCCCTCACACTCCAAGGCAGTTTACATCCAGCACTGGCTTCAGGAATCAGCACCTATTCCATCAACCCCTACCCTTCTATGATTTTGTCTTAGGGACCCAGGAAGAATTCTCACAAGAGAGGGCTCTCCAGGGCCTAGCCTTGCCCGCCCCTTCAGACTGACAGTAGCTGGAACTGGAACATGTGAATGGAATCCTCAGGACTTGCATCCTGTGCACTGGTGGACCCAGTTCCCCCCTCCCTACAGCTGAGCTACTCCCTACAATTCCAGGAACATGCCTCCTTCCTGCCCCCTCATGCCAATGCCATCCTGGGCAATGGGCACTTGTCCCCAGGAGAGTCAGTCAAGAGCAGAGCCTGGACTGGCTTCTTTCTTTCTCCAAACACATCGGCTAACCCCAGGGCCTCCTGAATCCTTAATCCTACACCTCTAGCTCCTGGGATTGCAAGGACTCATCCAACTTTTGTCTGGCTCAGTCTGCCAGGACCTGTCCTTACTCCCTGTGTCCTTCTCAGCCATCTCAGAGATGGAGGCTGACATCCTAGCACCATTGAAGGCAACTCCAGGTGGAAGTGGAAGAAGGAAGACTCAGGGAGGGTGTGAGGGAACACTAGTCCCACCTTGAGCAGGCTCTAGAACTTCTTATGGTCTCCCCCCAGGTGACCCTGGAATGACCTGCTAAGATGCACCCCCCACCTCTCAACAGAGACTTTTCTCTTTTCTCCACTCCATCCTGGCAGGCAGGGTAGGCAGAAGAAAGCATGGGATAGGAAGGGGGAGACAGACTTGATCCAGGCCCCACAGTGGACAAGAGGCAGCACCAGCTGTCTCTCTGTCTGTCTGCTGTACAGCATTCAGGCTCCATCCAACCAGCAACTGAGCCAACCAGTCTGCCCTACCCTTCTCTCATCTTTGCATTCTCTAGCTTTAAAAAATCCTGGGGCTGCGGGATAGAGTTGAGGCATAACGAGAAGGCTGCTTATGAGGTACTGCAGGAGGAGTACAGGAAGCTGGGACCCTTCTCCTTCGCAGAGGTCAACGTCCTCTTCTGCTTCCTCCTGCTGGTCGTCCTGTGGTTCACCCGCGACCCCGGTTTCATGCCCGGCTGGCTGTCTATCGCTTGGGTGGAGGGTGAGACAAAGTAAGTATATTGTTTGGTAGAACCCTCTCGCTTAGAACCCTGGGGCCTAAATGCTGCTGTTCTCAGCTATAGGAGGCAAGAGGGATGTCCAGGGCTGGGCACCCAGGCTTGGCTGAAGCGCTTCTCCTGTTGAGGGGTTGGGTTTCAGAGAGTACTCTTGGTCTCATGACTCATGTTTTTCTGATCTGTCTTCATGATAAGACCACAGATGTGTTTCTGCGGCAACCTCTCCTCCCCTGGCAACCTCTCCTCCCCCAATAGACTGAGCAGAAAAAACTTGGTCAAGTAGGATAGCCAGAGCTGTGATAAAGATTTATTGGGCTAGGAGTAGGGCTCCCAGAGCTCTGGTTTCCAATCTGCTCTGCCATCATCCCTTTGTGATCTGTCTTCAGATCTGGTCAAGCCCCTCCCAAGACACAATCTGGGTATCCAGAGTGCCTTAGACTTGGCAAAAGGAGGTATGTGTAGTTGCTTTCCTGTCTAAGATGTTGTCAGAGTGGAAGAAAGGTTGAAAACCATGTATGTCCTAGAAAAGACAGAAGTTGTAGGTGGGGAGATGCTTCCTGTGACAGTAGTTCCATTTTGAAGGTCTGCTGCCGTCGGCACCAACGTTCTAATTCTAATCTAGTTGAGAACCCAGATTTCTAATCTGGTCGAGAAGAGGTCACAAAGTTCACGTGTAGAACAATGCAGGCTGGGAGGGGGAAGTGGGCCAGCTCAGTGTCATCCAAACTTGGTGGCCAAAAGTGTAGGCATCTTGGCTTCCAACCAGGACTCAGTCTATCACACTGCTCCTGATCTTGAATTCGGGTACTCTAGTTTTCATACCATTTGAGTCTGTTTCTTCAGGAACACTTAGACATGGAACTGCGGGCGTTAGGATGGGATTGTTGAATAACTGTCACTGAGCTGCTGAGTTGGGTTAAAATCTCACTTGCTTTTTCCCACCTAGGTATGCCTCTGATGCCACCGTGGCCATCTTTGTGGCCACTTTGCTATTTATTATGCCTTCACAGAAGCCCAAGTTCAACTTCTGCAGCCAGTCTGAAGAAGGTAAGGCTCCTGTCCTGGCCTCCTAGTTATCAGGACTGGGGCTTTGGCAGCAAAGGATCTCCATGGGATCCCCTGGGCCCAGGAAGGAGAAAGTCCTGTCCTAATGAAGAGGACTGTCTACATCACAAAAGCCTGGAAGACAGTGGCTTCAAGCCAGTGGTGATACTTTTTTAGTGCAAAATCTCTTCTCTTTTGCTACTTAAATATCCGAACTCTCATTTATATTATGATAAGAACAGAAAATGTTTCCACTTTCCCAAAATGCCATCCGTGCTTTTTGTTTTCTCTTTTCTTCTCAGTCTTTGTTAATATGCATATATGCTATATGGTTATAATCAAAACACACATAGTTGGAGCCCTATTTCTTTGTTGTTTCTTTCTTTCTTTCTTTCTTTCTTTCTTTCTTTCTTCCTTCCTTCCTTCCTTCCTTCCTTCCTTCCTTCCTTCCTTTCTTTCTTTTTTTTTGAGTTGGAGTCTCACACTGTCACCCACGCTACCACGCCTGGCTAATTTTTTGATTTATTGTAGAGATGAGGCCTCGCCAAGTTGCCCAGGCGGGTCTCGAACCCGCGGGCTCAGGCAATCCACTCACCTCAGCCTCCCAAAGTGCAGGATTACAGGCTGAGCCACCGAGCCTGGCTTGTTGCTTCTGTCTTTGTTTATACTATAAACATTTCTCACTATTGCTACAGTCTAGTCTTCACATTTATTTTCTCTAATAATGTAATGATATTGCATTGAGGGACTGTAACATTCTCCTGTTATGGAACATTTTGGCTGTGTTGGATTTTTCATAGTTATAAATTAATATTTTCTTGTACATAGCTTTTCCTTTTAGGTAATTTCTTCTTAGGATAAATTTCTAGAAGTGATATTGCTGGGGTAAAAGAACATAAATGTCCTAATGGCTCTTAAACTGTATTGTCAAATTGCTTTTCAAAAAGCTTTTGCCAATTTATAAATCTATCTGCAGGGTGTATAACAGTTTCACCACGTCCTCACCAGCAATGTACGAGGGGGGACCCAAAAGAAACTGGAAATAGTCTTTGGCAGATGGGCCCCCTGTAGTATAGGCTTCCTCTGCTAGTAAGTGTCCTGAGAACCCATCAGCATTAGTGTATCAGCTAATGTTGTTGTGAGGGGCTGTGTACAGCTTCAGTGAATTTTTTTTTACAAGCGCACCTGCCCACACTGTGCTGAATGTTCAGCAGTTTTTGACCAAAAATGGCATGGTCCCTGTGCTTCATTCTCCTTATTCACCCAATCTCACCCAGAGTGACTTTTTTTTGTTTCCTCGGATGAAAAAAATCCTTAAAAGGAAATGTTTTAGCTGATGTGAAAGAGGTGAAACAAAAAACAGTAGAAGCACTAAAGACGTCAAAATTGACAAGTTCAAAAACTGCTTTGAATAGTGAAAAAAGCATCTTGATAGGTGTGTTTCATCAAATGGAGAGTACTTTGAAGGTGACTGAAGAGTAAACACGTAAGAATAAGTACACGGTTCCTTCTAAATAAATTCCATTTTGGTGGGTCCCTGTCATATATAATAATTATTATAAAATTTAGCTAATTTATAGGTATGAGATGTCCTGATTGGCTTTATTCCCCCTTGATTCTATCTCTTCTGTTTTCTAATGGACTGCTCTGGGCTGTGTGTGTGTATTTATTTTTTTCTTCTCAGAAAGGAAAGCTCCATTTTATCCCCCTGCACTGCTGACTTGGAAGGTGACCCAGGAGAAAATACCTTGGGGCATTGTGCTGCTACTAGGGGGTGGATTTGCTCTTGCTAAAGGATGCCAGGTAACTTCTCCAGCTGAAGGCTATCCAGCGTTCTCTTACTCTACCAAGAGGGTGGCCAAAGAGCTGCGGCAGTCCTCCACCCCTCCATCCCTGGGCCTGTGTGTCTCTATGTCTGTGTCCTCCCTATTAACTGCACATTCCTTGAGGACAGGTGCTCTGTCTTGCCTTCTAGGAACCCTGCACCACGAATGGGGCTTAGAAGAGAGAAAGTAATCTTTGAGTGACTGCAATGACTGCAGAAATAAGTGAATAAATGAGAGTCAGCAGACACTGGCAAAGCCCCCTTTGGGGTTTGGTAATAATAATCTCTGCTTTGATTTGACCTAGAGGAATCTTCCTTTCAAGTCCTTGTCAATATTTTTGCTATTTTTGCTTTTATCTTTGGTCCTTCTGCTTTTTGGTCCTTGCTGAACTCTTTGTTGACATGGTAGCTATTTTAGTTTTTTTTTTTTTTTTTTTTTTTCTTTAGGTAGCAGCATAGGAAGAGAGAAGTATTTTGGAAAACATTTCAAAATACAACTTTCTCTAACTTCCTCCTTCCCTCTTGGGGAAGAAATTGGCCAGAGGGAGGGATGAGCCAGCTTGATGCTGTTGTCCTTCAACCAAACCATGTATTAATCCATCCATCCATCAATCCGGGAATGCAATAGATACACTTGGTCTATCGTGTTATTGCTATTTCCTTGATATCTAGGAAACAGCCTGGTATGTAGTGGCTGCAAATTTTTTTTTGATGAAAAAATCCATCCATCTAGTCACTTTTCTATCCATTCATCCATTCATTTTTTCATCTCTCCATCCATCCATCTGTTCATCTCTCCTTCCATCCATCTGTTTATCTGTTCATCCATCTCTCCATCCATCCATCCATCCATTCATCCATCCATCCATCCAACATTCCTATTATGTTTCTGGGTTAGGTCAGGCACAGAGATTACAGAGGAGATTGAGATATTGTCCATGTACTTAAGGACTTTGCAGACTAGGGAGAAGCACTTATATGGAAAGGCATTTCAAGAAGTGACACATGAGCAAGGGAAAACATGTGAGGTATCTAGCTGAGAAACAGTAGAAGATGAGGCTGGTGAGGTTAGCAGAAGCCACTTGAATTCAAGATAGGGAGTGTGAACTTTATTGTGGACACTGGAGAGTCACTGAGGGGCTGGGGGCAGGTAGGGACTTGGTTAGATCTGCACATGAGAAAAATCATTCTTATGTCTGAAGTGGCCTGGGATGGGCAGGGGCTGGAGGAGAACCAGACAATGTCCTGTGGTGTTCATCCAACTCAGGCTCAGAACCATGGACTCCATGGACATTATCTCCTTGACATTCCCTCCTCCTTTGGCCTCCAAGCCACTACTTTCTCCTGCTTTCCTTCTAACTGATTGTCCCTATTCAGTGAGCTTTGCTGATTTCTCTGTTATCACTTAAGTAGGAGTGTTCTTCAAGGTTTTGTTCTTGCTCTCTTCTCTGTTTACTCTTCATTTTCTTCCTGGGGCAATGTCTTCTCACCCAAAGCCCTAAATCTAAACCCTTCATTTCTGGCCCAAATCACTGTCCTGAGCTTCAATTCACTGTCCTGTGAATGTGAGATGTTTGGGTGGCTTGGTGACTGATTGGGCATAAGGAATAGGGGGACAGACACCTGGCAGGATGACTCCCCAACTTTCTGGGTTGGGAAGCCGGTGTGTGGTGAGTCCATTCACCAAACTGGGGAGCTCAGAGAGAGAAACAGATTCTGAGCTAAAGATGATGAATTCAGGTTGGGGCATGTTGAGTCTTTTGTGCTCATGGGACATCTGGGTGGAAAGTCCTAGAAGGCATGTGGATGTGTAAATCAAGGTAGTAGAGCAGCTGGGCTGGAAATGCAGATTTAGGTGACAGCAGAATGATTAAAATCAGAAGATTAAAATCATGGTAATGGGTGAGGTCACCTATGGAATGGGTACACAGAAAGAGTCAGCAGTGGAGGATGGGCTAAGCTCCTCTTTGGTCCTGGAGAAACCATAAACCAGGAGCCCCGAGGTGACTGCCCTCCTGGTGCTTCCCAGGCCTCAGGGCTGTCCGAGTGGATGGGGAAGCAGATGGAGTTCTTGCACACAGTGCCGCCAGTAGCCATCACCTTGATCTTATCCTTTGCCGTTGCTGTGTTCACTGAGTGCACAAGTAATGTGGCCACCACCACCCTGTTCCTGCCCATCTTTGCCTCCATGGTAAGTAATCCTGTTGGGGGTGGGCAGACCCTTAGCCACTATTTCATAGGAAGTGTCAACACGGGGCCATGTTCTGGGCCCCTGGAGAGGCGATGAAATCAGGGCCAGAGCAGGACCAGGCTTTGGAGATCTGGGTCTGGCTGTGAGAATACATTTGTGTACTCTTGACGCCCCTACTCCTGAGGTCTTCACTGCTTTGCCGGTTCTTCTTTGTATCTCCATGCTGACCAAAGCATCAAACTTGGGCCAGGTGCTCCATATTTATTTTTTAAGTCTAATTGGATTATTTTTCAAGCTGGGGAGATAGAACCTGTGCCAAGGAAGAGTGCCAGTGCCATAGTCTCTGAGCATGTAGCACAGGTGTGCAAGAAAACTACAGAACAGGAGCACCCCTGGTAGGGACCCCTCAGGAAGAGACTTTGAGGGAGGTGGAGCTTGGTATTGGGTAGGAGGGGAGAGGGCATTCTGGGAAGATGGAGCAGCCCAAGTAAAGGCAATGGAGCAAAGGACTGAGGGCTCCTGGAAGCCTTGCTGGGTGAGCCCAGAGGTGAGGAATCAGTGAGAGTTGAGGTCAGAGAGACAGTAGATGGGGGTGGGGGAGAGCTGAATGCCATGCTAGAGCGTTCTGTTCTATGGGCAAGCACGTTTTAGAGTTGGGATTGAGAAGAAAGCAGAGCTTATGGAAAAATCACTGGTGATCGTTTCTTGCATTACCTTCTGTCATCCATCACAAAGCAGTACCAGCCTCAGGGTGGCGGGGAAAGAGCCCTGAGCTTGCGGTCAGAAGACCTGAGTTCAAGTGTGGGATCCCCGAACATATCACTTAAGCTATTTCCTCCTAGCGTTGTTCTGGGGGTCAAGTAAGATGAGGACTATGAAAAGCCTCTGTAGACTACAGCATGAGCATGGGAGAGGCTGTTGTTATTTAGGAGTTGGGAGACAGACTTAGAAAGGGCCCGAATGCGGGATTGAAGTTGGTAAATTTCCATTTGGCTGCTTGGGCAACCATGTGTATAAAAAGCAAACCTAAGTGTTTTTTTCCCTTCTATTCCAAGCAAAGACGAGTGTGTTAAAAATAGCAAGGTGGCCTGTCTCCTCCTCCCCTAAACAGGCTGCCCAGAAGGATGCCAAGGAAGACACTGGGGTCTGACACTGGGCAGACCATGGTGATGCCTCCTCTGCCCTAGCAAAGGCCCTGACTTCATCAGCTCCAGCCCTAACTGGGGACACCCAGGGTCCCAACCACACAAGTACAGGCGTTAGCCAGAGGGAGTGGGCTGACCCTTTGGAAACAAGCTTTTCTGGAACCAGAAGCCTCAACTAAGATTTCCCCCGTCTACCTCCAAGGGCCCTCAGACTCCTGCCTCAGCAACCACCTGTGCGAAAGGGAAAGGTGGTGTCCATCCAGCTGAGTCCCAGAGAAACACAGGGTGTAGACAATATGTGGTACCCGCAGCCAGGAAAATGAGGGCGGGTGGGGAGGGGCACCAGGAAACTGCCCAGGCCCCTGCTTGGGATCTTTCAGCTACTTCCAGAGGTCGTGTGACTTGGTGCAGCTCTTTCAGCAGGCTGTTTACCAACAAGAACCAGAGCCTTAAACGTGCTCATCCACTTTGACTCAGTAATTTTATGTCTGGGAATATATCCAGGAAAATAATTCAAGATATTTGCAAAATACACATAATGATGATGAATGGCAGAATTATTATAAAAATATATCCATAATAGAAGGCTGGTGAAATAAATTATCATATATTTATATAATATAATTATCAAGCGATTACAAACCACAGTTTTGAAGAGTATTTAATGAAATTGGATCATGCTCATGGTATAAATTTTTAAAGTTGAAAATGTAATACATATATGGCTAGAAATGTCTAATAATGCAAAGAAGTGTACAAATCCTAATCTAGCCTCCTCCCTAGAGATGACTTCTGTTAGATGACTTCTTCCTAGAGATGATTTCTTAGGTATCTTTCTGGATATATTATACACACATACACATACACATTCTTTTTAAAGAAATGGTATCATTCTATGAACCTGTTAAACATTTTAATCTAAAAAAAAAATCTAACAATGGGCCCTGGAGATCTTTTTATATTAGCACATAAAATCTACCCAATTCCTTACAGCTGCATGCTATTCCATTGTTTGTATATAACGTATTGTATTAAGCCATCCACTATTGGTGGCTATTGAGTCTGCTTCCTGTGTTTTGCAGTTACATTGTTGCAATGAACATATTTGCATGTGTCTGCCTTCATGTGCATGAAAATCTGCATGATAAATGATTAATTTTGATAGATTATACGAATCTATTATTCATTCAACAATACTCATGAGTGCCTACTCTCTGCTAGGCACTATTAGATGTGGCTGAAATTTAAAATGTGGAATAAAAAAGGTGAATACCAAATTCATGTGCAAAATGATCCCAAATGTGTATAAAAACACATCCATCCATAGATGCACACTCAGGTGAGAAGATGTGGTCCCTGCCTTCCAGGCTTTCATAGTCTGTGGCAGGACAGATAGGCTTGTGCTTGTGGGACTGTAAGATTGAGTCTAAGTGCTCAGCATGGTCTTTGACTCATAGTAGGTGCCCAAGAAATATATGTTTTTTTGTTTTGTTTTGATTTTGAGTTCAAGTCTCATTCTGTCACCCAGGCTGGAGTGCAGCAACATGCTCACAGCCACCCCAGCGTCAACCTGCTGGGCCCCAGTGATCCTTCTGTCTCAGCCTTCCAAGTAGCTGGAACTACAGGCGAGCACTACCATGCCAGCCTAATTTTTTTGATTCATTGTAGAGATGAGGTCTCACCAAGTTGCCCAGGTTGGTCTCGAACCTGCAGGCTCAGACAATCCACTCGCTGTGGCCTCCCAAAGTACTGGGATTACAGACTGAGCCACGGATCCCGGCCATAAAAATATGTTGAATGAAGTGAGGGAGGGTTCAGAAAGGCCTCCCAGGGGAGGGGGGATCTGAACTCAGCCTTCAGTGCTCTGTAGAGCTACCAGCAAGAGACGTGGCAAAAGATAGAGGAATGAGCAAGACAAACACAGAGTTTCAAATTTAGCACGTTCAGGGCATGCTTTTCAGAATCATGGCCCTGGGAACTTTTATGTTCTGTACCGTGATGTTGCAGTGCTGTGTTTTTCCCCAGTCTCGTTCCATCGGCCTCAATCCACTGTACGTCATGATCCCCTGTACCCTGAGCGCGTCCTTTGCCTTCATGTTGCCTGCAGCCACCCCACCAAACGCCATCGTGTTCGCCTACGGTCACCTCAAGGTTGCTGACATGGTAACACAGCTGTTTTTATTTACTCCCATCAGACTATATTGCTGTTGTGAGAAGGGATGGCCTCATTTATGAACACATGGCGTGTGAGTTTCAAAACGAGATCACACTATTTGGGAATGCCACGGAAAGTCCAGACCTCTAGTCATCATTCATTTACATTTATAGTGTAGCTTTCTTGTTTTTTGAAGTGATCTCAAAGTTCCTAGACTGTTCTGTTTCCAAGGTGGGTTATAGAATCTCCCACATGGAGATGCCTGTACAGGCACCAGGGGAGCCCTTCCTAGGTACCTGGAAGGGGCGGGGGGTGAGGGAGGTCCCATGGCCAAGGACGGACTTCACAAACTAACAAGAACTGTGAGAATGGCCAGGTGGGGCAAAGCTTAGGTTGAGGGGATATGCTAATAACAGCCAGAGAGATTTGTGGAGGTGTCTGAAGAGGCAGAAGCAGGGAGCGGGAGAGAGGGAGATCACTGCTTGGGAGTAGATACTGCCTTGGAGACAAAAGCAGCCAGGGGAACAACTCTTCACACCTGGGATGGCTTTATCACCTTTGATGGAGAAGAAGGGCAACTTTGCAGTTTTAAAATGGGGAGGGAGCACGTGTGTGAGCCCAGAAATGAACCTTGGACCAGTTAGGCATTAGTTGTCTCAGCGCTTTCTCTCTGGGACTCCATGGAGCATTTTCACAAAGAGAATGGATAACCATGGTCTGCAAACCTGATCCCAGTTTCAGTAAAATATCAACAGCAGGGCAATGTAGCAGTGGTTAGTGAGCATTTGGAGACAATGTAGAGCAGGCATCAGAAAGAGCCAGAGGTGGTTCACAGGGAAGCTGGCATGTCCCTGAGGGATGGCTAAGGTGCTGGGGTGAGCACCAGACCTAGAGTCACACCCTGGGCACCACCATTTCCCTGAGTGGTCTAGGCTGTTGCCTCATGTCACCTTCCTAAGGTCATTTTCCAAGTGCTTACGTAGGCATAGAGAACCCATCTGTCCTACTTTTGGGGGATGCTTTGAGCATTGGTAATACCTAGTGAACATGAAGGTGCTTTGTCTGTGGGTAGGGGGGACTGTGGAGCATGCCATAGGGACACTAAGGCCCAAGAAACGGGCCCTTTATCCTTCTCTCTGGAAAGACTCACTCCTAGCAGACCTGAGAATGCTGACTCTGACCCTGTCTTTTTTGCAGGTGAAAACAGGACTAATGATGAACATAATTGGAGTCTTCTGTGTGTTTCTGGCAGTCAACACCTGGGGACGGGTCATGTTTGATTTGGATCATTTCCCTGTCTGGGCTAATGTGACACATACTGAGACGTAGGGAGAGCCACAGACCACATACACACAGCCCCGCCCTCCTGAGGACCACCAAACCTTCCAGCACACCTTGCACAGAGTTTTTGGGTTCACACCCCAAAGCGATTCATTGATGCCCACACCCTCACAGACCCAGCCAACAGGCCACTTCTTCCAGGCCTGGATGCAGAGATGGGTCTGGGTGACTGGAGGGCAGGCTTGGAAGTGAGGGGAGCCCCTCAAGAGGCTGCTGGGGCCCATCTTTCCCAGGCACTGCCATCATCTCTGGGACACAGGCTTCTGTACCTACTCAGCCTCAAGTGCCACCACACCAGCCCCACACTGGGCTCTGGTCTCACTCATTCACTCCTCAGTGGTTTAAATGGGAATTGGATCCCTAAATTGGGAACCAAGAAAACAACCTACCAGTGCTGGTGTCTCTTCCTGCTCACCTCGGGCTGTCTCAGTTCCTCTGTCACTCTGAAGAGGACCCCTCAGCCAGAGACAAGATGCCTGGTCTTGGGCAGCCTCACACTGCTGCTGTCAGAGCCTCCTGGGGACTCTCGGAACTCCTTGTGTGGCCACCACTACAGGAAGAGGAATCTGAGTTGCTAACTTCAGGACGATACCTGTCCTCCCACCTGCAGGCACAGTTGGCTGACCTACTCCCCCTCCTCACCTCGTTCTATTTTGACTGACAGATTGGACCCCTGTCCCAGCTCTCCAGCGAGGCTCCTTCAGCTCCTAGGTCCCCAGCCACTTGGGCCAACATTGGCTGAGATGCCCTGGCCAGGGCCCTTCAGCATCTCAGTGTGACCTCCTAGGCAGGTCAGTGTGGCTCTTCTGGGAGATGCTCTCCTGCCACCCCCACATAACTGGGATTACACTCCAAGTATGCGCAGTGATGGTGCTCTGAGGGCCACAGCAGGTTATCTAGGCCCTCCCTCACCTGTAAGCCCAGACACGGCTGCTCATTTCCAATAGCTGGGTCACTTCAGAGTTTGCCATGCCAGAGCTTGAGCTTCTCTGGGAAAAGCCTTTCCTTTGTTGACTGGCCTTCACAGCCACGCCTGGTGTACACAGAGCATTGCTGAAAATGAGTGGTGTCTGGTGGTCCCTGAGCAGACAGACCCTGTCCATGGACAGATCTACCTTAAGTTACTGGGACAAAGACCCCCAGAGAGGGGCTGCAACTCCAGAATGGCCGCTGGGATCCTCAGAATCCCCTGTATGAGAGAGAGAGAGACACGTGAGAGACAACCACCTTCTTTCCTCCTCTCCCAACCCCATTTTCCTTCCTTGTGCTGCTCTGGAAGAGAGGCAGTGGAAGCCAAGGTACTGGATGGCATTTTTCAGGGCAGGAGGAATTATGAGAACCTCAGCAAGCCTCATCAGGGACCAAGCATGTGTCTGGTTTCTTGGGCGGGACAATTCCTGACCTCGCATACTTGTTGAGGTCTTGCTCTCATTAAATGCTCTGTCTCCTGTGGGAAGTTCCACTGTGCTGACTCTGTGGTTTTCTGCTGTGTGTGTGCTGGGGGGCAGGGGAGGTAGATGAAGAATGTGCTAGTACTCCCTTTCTACCTCCTGGGTGCAGGGCCATCTTGTCCCTGGTGAATCCACTAATTATCTCCTTCCATCTTTGCAGGAACCCTATGAGATAGGCAGGTGCTATTATCCTCATTTGCCTTTCAAGAAGACTGAGGCTCAGAGAGTCCAGGCAAAGTGTCCTAAGTCACAGGTCAAGTTAGTGGCAATTATGGTCCCAACCCGATCCTCCAACTCCACACCCACTGCTCCTTCCTCTAAGTCACTAAGGGCCTTGGCCTTATGGGGCTTGTATGGAAAGGTGAATGGCCAAAAGCAAGTCCATACCAAGGCCCTGCCTGCGCAGAGATCGCTGGGCTCAGGATAGTGTAGAAGCAGACAGTTTTGGTCATTGTCCTAAGAAGCAAAATGTTTGACTGGGGAGGTAGTAAGGGAAAGGCTACCTCCTCCCTCCACCTTCTTACCCACCCCTCTGCCACTGCTCTTCACAGGGCAGCTGTAAACTGGCCTGTGCCACCAGCTTGAGATCTGCTTGCCCACTAGGTCTGTTGCTGGCACTACGGCTGACTCAAAGAAGCCCACAGTTGTGTGATGGATAAATAAATGATTGGTCAGTGTGATCAGTTAGGCTCATACCTGGTGGTGGTGAGCAAGGTCAGTAAGGTCATCTAAGGTGAACACTGAAGGCTGAGCAGATGGCCAAGTGTGGTGGGAAAGGACTTGGTAGAGTGGGTGGGGTGGAGGACCCTACCAGACACTGTCTGGTTGAGGGCTAACAAAAAGTAGGGTAGAGGGCTTCAAAAGAACAGTACTCCCAGCTGAGGAGTACTGACCAAAGGCTGTTTCTAAACAACTTCTCTTGGAGTTGGGTGGAGTTGCATTAGCATTTTGGCCTGTGCCAATTAGGAATGCTTTTGACTGCAAATAAGAGAAAACCCAGTGAACAGTGGCTTAAACCATAAGGCCACTGTTTACTTGACAGAAAGTCTGCAGGTAGATGGTTGCTGGCACTGGTGCAGGAGCTCATTTCAGCCACCAAGGACTGGGATCTGTAGTCCACTCTGTTATCTTAAGGGTGTCACGCTTTTACCTTCATGCTTTACCCTCAGGCTACATAGCTGCATTCCTTCAAGGCAGACAGAAAGGGGTATGGAATGGGGAGGAAGACAGTTGGGGAATTGACCTTTGTTTCTTAAAACAGACTTCCACCCACTATAAGATCTGGGCTCTGACAGGAGAAAATGCCGGGGGAGCTGTTGAGTAGGTGATGAAGAGTGATGGGATCACTCCAGGAGACATGAGCGGCTCCCTTTCCATGGAATTCCATAGAAGCCTGTCGCTAGGTGGGAACAGACTGCATGGTTGTTTGGTCAAGAGCTTCAGCAATGCCTCCACTTCCCAAAGACCAGGCCTCCTCCTGCGGGCCCAGTGAACTGGGAGGCTAGAAGTCTGAGACCCAGACGGAGCTCACCCCTGTCTGATATGGAACAAGTTATTCTACTCCAGGGGTCTCAGTTTTCATCATGAAAGGGCCAGAGAAGAAGGTCTCTAAGGGCTTTCCCCAAAGTCAGGGATCCTATCACCCCAGTTGACTCTCCTCCTGCTTGGGCCAAATGCAGCCCCATGTCCCATTCCCCATGCTGTCTCAACTTGGAGTCTGTTTTACAGGTCTGCTTTCTGCTCCCATCTGGGGTTTGACCACTTGCTGAAGGCTGTCTCAGGTCTTTTTCCCACCTATATTTTGCATCTAACATCTTGGAATAAGGTTCTATCCTAGACTCTTGAGTTCTCTCTTTCTACTGCTTGGATCAGACATTTGTGCCTGAGGTTAGCTGAACACAATTCTGACCAGGATTGTTCTCTTAACTTTTTTGCCAGAGACTTAAGACTCCACAAGGATTCTTTGCATTCCCAGGGTCAGTCACCTGGGCTCCTTATCCTCTGATCCCTCAGTTAAGAGCTCCTGAGGGATGGCCAGAGGGCTTCTTCCTTGTCTGTCTTGAGCTAAGAGCTTCCTTGGAGAAGGGCCTGAACCTCCCCCTGGGCAGAGCCTGTGAGCTGGCATCTACCTGGGATGGGTGAAGTCTTCTCTCTTTCCCATCATTTCTTGCACAGTTAACACAAATAATGGATAGTGTGGCTTTTTCTCTGGACTCCAAGCAGGATATCAGCTTTCTAGCAGAGTCCAATCCTTGAAACAAAGAAGGACATTCCTTAAGACCCTTGATAAGCATATTCTTGTTTGTGGAGATAAAGACCAAATGTTGGATTGTCGGTTTAAAACCTACGCCTGTCCATCATATTCTTAGCATTCTGTCTTCTGGGTACTCTCTCACTCTAGTTCTATAGCCTCTTAAAGCCTTGTGTCCCAACCTACCAGGGAAGTCTTTTTAATCTCTTACACATATTACACACACACACACACACACACACACACACACACACACACACACACACAATTTCATCAAGATAAATCTCTACACAATGGGATGGACCTTTACATTATTCAACTGGAAACTTGTTTCAGGCTGAAATCTCTGCAGTCAGATATTGTTTATTTTACTTGGTGGAAAATACCTGCAAGGACTCAGTTATACTCACTTCTCTGACCCAGGAATATCTTTCAGGTGCTTCCCTGATCTTCTTGTCCAAATGCCCACTTTCACATGCAGAGTCACAGGTAGCTCATGGCTGGCAGTTGTGTCCCCACTTCTAGCTATCAAGGATAGAGAAATTTTAGAGTTCAACCTCAGAACACCCTGTAATCCAATTAAGAAATTAAAGGCAACCTCTGTCAACAGTTTCTTACATATCCCTCTAGAATTATTATGTAATCTAGAAAGATTAATAGGTATCTGTCTCCTATATATGGCCCCATAATTCACACAGTTTCTGTCCTTGTTTCCACCCTCCCACCCCTGCTTAACAATGGATTTGGAGATCATTCTATTAAGTTTGGCTAGGTTTTTTTCATTCAATAGCTAATTTTGTTTTCGAATTGAGGTAATGTTGAATTTAGTCAATCACACAGATTCTAAGTGTACAATTCAATAATTTTGACAAACATATACATTAGCAACACCCTAATTCCATCACCTTCTTTCCGAAAGTTCTCCCTGCCCCTTCCAGAAATGCACACTTCCTACAGGCAACCACGTTCTGATTTCTGTCATCACAGATTGATTCTGTCTGTTGAATTTCATGTAAGTGGAATCATACAGAACATTCTTGTATCTGCATTATTTTAACAAAATGCTTTTGAAATTCATTTTTTTTGTGCATATCTGTTCATTTATTTGGTTGTTATTGCTAAGTAGTGTTCCATTGTATGACTATACCACAGTTTTTCTATTCTGTTGGAGGACATTTGGGCTGTTCCAAATTGGGGCTATTTTGAATAAAGTTGTTATAAACATCTCTGCAGAAGTCTCTTCTGTGGGCATATGTTTTCATTTCTCTTGGATGTGAGCCTCAGTCTTTTTAAAAGTAAGTATGTACTGTGTAATAATCAAGTCCCCTATTGATAGGCATTTAGGTTGTTTCTAGTGTATGCTAATGTTGTAATAAACACATCTGTACATACATCTTTGTGTACCTATGTGAAGAGAATAGTTTCCTAGTATGACATTCTTGGTCAAGGGATGTGTGTTTAACCTGGGACAGATATTACTAAATTGCTTTAGATGAGGCTGTGCCAATATTCATTCTCAAGAACTGTGTATGAAACTTATTTTCACAGACCCTTAGCAACTCTCTGTGTATAATTACCCTTCTCCATCTTTGCTAATCTGATAGTTGAAAATTCTGTCTCATGACTCATTTGCATTTTTCATTTATTTATTTATTTTATATTTTATTTTAAAGATGTGGGGTACATTTCAGGATGAGGTAATAAGTGGACATCGTACAGTTAAAGTTTGGGCCTCCCTTTGGTCTCCACTTTGCCTGGTTTGAGATCAGGTACCCTTATTCATGTTGTGTTCCCTCCCGCATTTTTTTATATTGCTAATCATGTTGAATATTTTTCTCATGTTTATAATTCTTTTGTGTATATTTTTTCTGTGAACTTCCTGTCTTTTGCCTATTTTTTCCCTAGGAGTTTATTTTTAAGGACTTTTCTTCTTCATTTGTAAGAACTCTTTACATATTAAGAAATTAGTCATTTGTCTGTCATAGGAATTTTTATAATATATGTTAAAGTTTGCTGAGGCTAGTTACTTTCTGTTTATTCTTCTTTTTCACTTTTTTCCCTCGCTATTCTCACATATTTTTCCATAAGAATTTCTGAGTCAGCATCTCCAGTTCCAAAAACTCTGGTTGGCATTTACCTCTGGTTATCTCTTCTATTACTCTTCCCCTCACTCTCTCCAGGGTGTCTTGACCTTGGCACTATTGACATTTTGGGCTGAATACTTCTTTGTTGTAAGAGTCTGTTCTGTGCATGGTAGGATATTGAGCAGAATCCTGGCTTCTGTTCACTAGATGCCAATAGCAACCCTCTCCCGCTCCAGTTGTGACAGTGAAAAATGTCTCCAGACATTGCCAAATGTCCCCTGGAGGGCAAACTTGCCTGTGACTGAGAACCACGGACTCACTCTGATTTAGTCTACGGGCCTCCCTGCTGTCTAGAGCATGCAAGTCCTCCTCCTGCTCCCCAACTAGCTTCCATCTTCACATAAATGTTACTTCTCAGCCAAGTGAGTAGCAACTCCCCCACCTGCCCTACTCTTTATACTTCCTTGGGCTTTTCTCTATTGCACTTTTCATCTTCTGAAATAATATGTCCTTTACTTCTTTAGTTCTTTATCTTGTCTGTGTCCCCGCTGTCTTTAAGAGTGTAAGCCCTGTGAGGACAGGGATTTTTGTCTGTTTTATTCATTCCTGTATCTCCCATGCTTAGAGCACATCTGGCACACAGTAGGTGCACAACAAATATTGGAAGAAT